TGAGGGAACTCAGCACCTCACATACTTAGGTCTTAATTGCTCTAGGCAAAAAGTCTATTTGAGAGAGAGGGGTAAGAGACAAGAGAAAGGGAAAAGGACTTCTGAGTTGTTAGCCACTTTAAGCTGGTACTAGTCAACTAACAATAATCAACCTACAAATTATTTCCTGCAATGAATACATGTACAATCTGCTAAAAAAGGAGAAAATTACCTGATGATTATTAGTTTTCAAGTGCCAGGTATTACCAATAGTTAAGAGGTTTGCATATGGCAGAGCACATGCCATTAAACCAGCAGATGGGCTGATAAGGAAGAATCAAACAATTACAACATAGGGTTTTTTTTTTCCAAAGCTAAGGACTGACATGAGAGCAGAGATTCACACACTACTACTTTCCCAATCAGCCAGATGAAGCTTTTTAGGGTGAGGGGGAAGTTTAGCATTTAAAACTTAATGTATAAACAAGTTATTGAACATTACACCCTTCTTCCCTGCAATGAGGAAGAAACTGAGCTGCTCATCTTCTTTAAGGCTAAACGGAGTTGTGTTCAAGAAAACTTCCCCGTCAGCAATCTGCTCACATATATAACAACATTTTCAAATGTTACACAGGTTTTTTTTTTCCAAAAAAGGGTAGTATTTAATGAACATTTAAGTTCTTGCACTGAGCTAAGCCTTTGTGAGTAGTCTCCCCTTCCCCCCGCCATACGATAAATAGCTAATTTTTACCTCTTGTGACAAGATAGATGTCCTATCCCTGCTTTGTCTCTCTAAAACTTTCCCATCTTCAAAGGGAGTAGAAATTAATATTTGCAAATTTGTTTTGAAGATGAACTACTGTAATATATGAGGGTGTTTAAAAAACTAACAGAAATTGTGAAATAAATCCACTGTGTATGCAGTGATGATTTACTGGGCCATGTCGCTTCTCTACATAGTAATAAATTATGGGTGCATTCAACAAGGCCATCAGTGTTCCCCACTTTGTCAGACATACAGGGTGGGCAGCCATTTAGCCATTAATTTCTGAAACACCCTTTTAGCTTCTTTTACTTGCAACACATGACTTTTTTCTTCAGCCACATGCCCACATCAAGACATCCAGGCCAATTCAGTGCTTTTTTTTTTTTCTTTCCCCCAAACAATCCTTTTTCTTGTGATTTATATCTGGTATTGAAACAGGGATGTCAGCAGATAAATTTACTCAAACTTACAAAATCACTCATAATCAATTTATAGCCAGCATTTTGTTAAGACTAAGAACATTTAAGTCTAAAGACATATTTGACTCATTTGGGTATACTATGAAAGATTAGACTATTCTTAAGAATAAATAGATATCCCAGTATAGTGGCATATCAACTGTACTTGCAGAGCTACCAATATAAACTAAGCAAAAAGCATAAAAGATCATCTTCAAATGTGTTCTTTTTACAAAAGATATTAAATTCTAAACTGAAGAAAAAATGTTTTTTTAAAAAAGGTAAAAAATTCTGTTACAAAGTAACAAAATAATCAGTATTAATAAACAAGTTTCATTGATCTATGTCTTTCTGCCTATATAGAAAAAAATCCATAAGAAGGGTTTAGATTCAATTATTAAAGTATTCACATGTTTTAAAATGACTGTTAAAATGGCTTGGTATTGGGCTAACACTTTCTTAATCCCTCTGACAGCTGCATAGGCACTGTAGGTGGTCTAGTAAAAATCTCTCTCTTGGAGAATGGTGCCCTGCACAACACAGTTCAAGAAAGCCCAGTCTGGTATTTAACAGTAACTGATCACCTTCTGGTAATCGCAAGATAATCTATATTCAGAATGGAAAATATGCAGCACTCCTGAAAAAAAAAATATGGTCACAGTAAAGAAGGAGAAAGCATTTTCCCACTCTAGTCAGTTCACAATGAATGAAGTAAATGAAGTAGCTACCAACACATTGGAAATAGTTGCATTTTTCTTGCATGCATGCTAAGAACTTTGGCTCTTTACTGCTTTAGAACAAATTACACTAATACTATAATAGTGGGGACCAACCTTTTTTGGCAAGCACACCCCAAGGTAAGCTCCCCCCACCCTTCCCAAGCGCTATTCTGATCCCCCTCCCCTGCCCAATCTGCTGTTCTGCGTCTTACTCCCTGCTCTATCTGCTTCTGTGCTCTGTGTGCCCTTCCCGATCGGCCGTGCACCACACAGGCTGCCTGTGCTACTTGTTGGAGGGGTTTAGGTTGTAGCCTCGTTGGTCTAAGGACATAGGCAGACAAGGTTCCTTGGGTGAATTTGATCTCTTTTATTAGACCAACCCAAATAGTTGGAGAATAGTTATTAAGCAAGCTTTCGGGTTCAAAAACCCTTCCTTAGCCTGACGAAGGGTTTTTGAACCCGAAAGCCAGCTTAATAACTATTCTCCAACTATTTGGGTTGGTCTAAAAAAAGAGATCAAATTCACCCAAGGAACCTTGTCTGCCTATGTGCTACTTGTGGCACATATGCCACAGGTTGGCCAGCCCTGCAGAATACACGGTTTTGTCATTCACTTCTAGCCTACTGTATATTCCTTTCAGTTAAGGACTTCGCTCTCCGAAGTATTATTTGATTTGATTAACATCCACTGCGTGTGCGTGCATCTCTCTTCCCACCTCCCTTCCCCCCAGGAATTGAAATAAATAAATAAATACATGGATTGTAAGAAGTATAGCCTTGTGTATATAATAGCAAACGGAAGGTGAAAAACATGCCCTCAACATTTCTTTGGAATCAGAATAACCATTCAATACTAAAAAAATATTTTTTTCCTCTTATTTCTGATGTACCTTAAAAAAAGGAGAGAAAGAAAACCCTCGATTTTACCCAATGGTCAGCTGCATAAAAATTTCAAAGAATACAGCAAAAAATGAGATCCATTTACTAAGCACAAGGCAACATGTGTAATTCACTTCATATTCACCAATTATGTGACTGTATGAAATGATTTTGTATTACATAAGCTAAAAGACTAATTTCACTAATGAGACTTGTGAGTTAGCCTTCAGCATGCAATATTTCAATGTTATATGAACAAATTTGCATAAACAAGGACTAACTTAAACTTGCTTTATTTGTTTTCAAAACGGTAAGTATTAAAGCAGTGGAAATTAAGTGGTCCAGGTACTTATGCCTATGACACATTTTCCTTCCTGAAAGTTTCTGACTGAAGTTAGATGGCTTAATTTTCAACACTGACTAGCAATTTTGAACTCAATATTTTGAGTACTTACTTGATACAGTAATGTGTCTGAGCTTTCTTATTTTACAAATGAGACCCTTCCAGGGTATCTCAAAACTGGGCAGCCAACAAACTGTGGTACCCAACATCAAAACTCACATTTGAAAATGCAGGCAATAACTAAAAGGCTAACTGAAAAAAACAGTATGAGGAAATTTCAAGTGACCGAAAAGTAAAGCCAGCATTTTAAACTGAAACCGTGTTTGAACTGAAATACAGGCATCCAAAGTTCTTTGTTATTTAGCTATCACGTTGGTATTCGATAACATGATGCTATGACTGGATTCTTTTTCTGCGTCTGAAATCCTGGCCTCTTAAGATTCTACTACAGGTGAAACCAGTTATTTCAAGATTAAGCATCTCTATTTTAACATACAACCAACACCACATTGCCTGCTCTCTACCAGTGACCCAAACACTATCACCTATTCCTCCACCAGGCTACCTTTCCCCCCAGAATTTAGATGCAACATTCTATGTTCTTAATCATGATAGGCTCAAGGGAAGCACAAAGCCACTTAAAAAAAAAAAAAAGGTGCCAGAGCCTTCAGAGCAAGCCACAAAATATAAAATCAACTAACCAAAACCAGTGTTCCACCCCTATCCAGTAAGGCAAGAAAATACACATACAAGGCCAGCCTTCTCCCGAGTCTCTCTGGGCTAGGGACAGAAGTTGCATACAAACTGGTTTAAGTGATCAGAAACTGGTTTAAACCTGTAACAGAACCGAAGTTCAGTGCACATAAACCAGTTCCAAAATGGCTGAAACTGGTTTAAGATGAATCTGATTGAATGTAATGTTAGACTTAACTGACTTGGATTAAACCAGTTTATGAAACTTCTGTCCCAGCTCCCTTCCTGGTTCAAGTTAAATCACAGTCCCCCAGCATCCCAGCATGCTTTCCAGCCCTGGGCTGGGCTGTCTGCTCCAGCAAAGAAGGGCTGGGGGGGGGGGGCCCCCCCCCCCCCCGGGCAAACTCCGGGGGGTTGTTCCCCAGGCAAACTCCAGCTGGGGTCTGGGGCCAGGGAGGGGGGTTGAACTTCCCTTCCCCCAAGTACAGAGCTGCCCTGACAAAAACTTACTGCTGACTGTGACTGTGTACTACAAATCTCAGGAGGCACCTGGAAGCAGGAAGCAGAAGTGATGAGCAACCCTGGACTGCAAATCTCAGACACCTCAGAGCAGCAGGAAGAGGAAGCAAACACAGCCCATGCTGGCTGTGCCAGAGCTGTGCTCTAGTGTCCCCTGCCTTCTTGCCTAAGCCACTGCAAGTATGTGGCTACATTCCCTGAATCAAAGGTAAACGCCTGTCCAGTTGATTCTCAATTCAATCTCTGTATTTTGGATTCACCTGAAAAGACTGAATCAACTCAGCCTCCGGCTTTTTGACTGTCTGTACTTAGTCTTGATCTCACATAGATTAAGCAAGGCAGCATTTCAAATTTCCTTGGAGGTTACGTATCAAGGGCAGACTTTTTCCCAGACTGACTCTCCTTCCCCTTTTGTGTTGTTCGTATCTCTGGTGCTCCCCTCCAAAAAAGGAGTCTTAGAAAATTTAGACAGTGGACTAGAACTCAAAAGGCTAAAAGGTTCAATTGTTCAAGTCCCAGCCTTGCTACCGATTTCCGTATGACACTGGACAGGAAAGTTTTTGCAACTTCTCTTCTCAATGTTGCCAGCTCTTCTGAAATTAGTCTATACTGTCTTTTACTGCTAGTGCTTAGAATCTGGTTACCTTTGGCAGCATGGGTGTGTCCCTCTTCTTTTTCTTTTCTGAATTAGGGTCATCCAGCAAATCTGGCTCAAAGGTATAGAGCTCTGTGAGCTCATTCATGGTGAAGTGACGCTCAACTTGCTGCTGGTCAACAACCCGGAAAGACAGTGACTGTTTTGTTACTTGGCGATCATAGATCTTGTCCTCCATTGTTCCCTAAAAAAACCCACATTTTTAAAAATGTTAATGCACACATACATAAGATCAAATTACTCTCATTTGGAAAAAAAAGAGTCATCAAATGATAGGAACAATCCTTATAAAACAATTTTCCATTTTTGATGTTTGTTCCATCACACATCTGAAGTGGCTTACCATAAACCACCTTCCTTTTTTAAATCATTTAAAAAAAATGACAGTTCTGGAAAGACTCCTTTATTAGCTTGTTAGCAGTTTATTAGAAAAAGAAATATTTCAATTTCATTAACTCAAGGACATCAGATTTTACACATCTCCAAATCTGTACTTCTAAAAAGATTGGTATTTAAAAACTGTGTTTCTATAACATTATTCAAAGTGTTTTATCTGACATTAGCAACAAAACCATAAAAAATCCCCCCAAAAACCCAACCCTACCCTCGAAATTAAGTATGAAAAAGAGAAGGTATAAATTCAATGTCAGTTCAAAAAAATAAAAAAGAAAGCAAGCAAGCTTAGGAGATGATGGTCAAAGAAGAAAGCAGAACTGAACACGTTACCAGCACGATAGAATGTGGTGAAAGTACATACAGTCCTTGGATGTATAAGCATAGGAATACAGAGCAATAGGGAGGTTATGTATACGGCATCAGCGAGAACAGTTAAGTTCAATGCTGGGATCCACAATTAAAAATGATGTTAGTAAATTGAAAGAAGATTCAGGAAAGGTTACGAGACTTATTTGAACTTGGGGGTGAAGAGGAAATATCTTACTGTACGAGACTACAGAAGCTCAATTATTTAACTAAAATACAAAGTTAAGATTTGACTTGGTCAAGATCCAGTAAGCGGTAAAGATAGCAGAAGGGTCTTCAACCTACCCAACTACATGATTATTATAATTCTTCATATGTGATCTTAAAAAAGAAACCAAAAAAAACTAGCTAACAAAAACTCCTCCCCTCTGGGCCAGGGCAGGGCAGGGGAGAAGGTAAATCTGTAGCAGTTTATCACAGCTTGACAATTTTCAGCTTAAAAACACTACTGAATGCATGCAGGTACATCCCGGTATACCACAGGGATGAAAAAGTCTATATGCACAGATTGACATTTGAGACCACAGCATTAAGACCATTAATGAAACATTAGTTTCAAAACTTACCTGAGCTAGGAACCTGTACACAAACACAGGTTTGTTTTGCCCAAAGCGGTAAACCCTAAAAATACTCTGGATATCATAGGATGGGTTCCAAGAGGCATCAAAGATAATCACACGATTAGCAGCCACTAGGTTTATTCCAAGAGAACCTGCTTTAGTGGAAATAATAAACAAACGGCCTCTGGAACAACAACAAAAATGATTAAATTTTAGTATTTTACAAAGCAAAATTGACTACCCTTGTCTTGGCATCCTTAAATGTTATAAATATGTTTTTGAAATTGGGTAAACTAAATCCTCTGAGGATCTCTTATGTATTATTCAGAAGTTACAATTATTTCATTTTAAAAAATGCAATACTGTAAAATTTGCATTTGTACTGTTTTAAATAAAAGGCAAAAGCTTCTCGTAAGACTAACTGCATTCTCAGAATCATAGCTCCTAAAGCCCAAAGACATCTGGGCCATGATAATTAATGGAAAAAGAAAATAAGAAAATTTTAGAAGGTGGTGCTGTAAGGAGAAGAAATAGAAACTATTTCCTTTTTCCCATTATCAGTAAAATTCACTTTGATATATCACCAATTGGAGATACAGTGTCTACTGGTTGGCAGAAACTCAGACAGTTCACTTAGATTCTAATAACAAGCAATTCTAATATGTAGCATAAAGTACAAAAGTTTGTTTGGAGCTCTGCCAAGAAGCTCTGTACAGCTACAGTTCTTTGTTGTATTTTACTCCCTGGTTCCAGGGGACAGTGGAGAAAAAAAGAATTATATGCAGCAATTTATGGTTCAAAATTTTGGTTCTAATAAATGGCTGATTCTATAAAGCCAAGTGCTAAAAAGTGGCAGGAAATGTACACTTTTGGTATTTGGTTTTGATATTTAATTTTCATAATCAGCAACCTTGATATCATCAGATATAAATCAGAGTTTATAGTATGGTTTAGAATGGCAATGTGCAATACCAAAGTCATTTCTCTCTAAGCATCTAGATTTCCATGTAGGAAAAAAGAAGAGCTCAACAGAAATTCACATATACCTAACAGTGCACCTGTTACTAATGGATCTGGAGAAGGACAAGGAGAACTTTTTCTAGTTCATGAAGAATTTCAAAGCTGGAGACCAATATTCTGGCATGATGGTATAGAGTAATCATGTCTCAATTTCAAGGGAAAATGTGAACAGCTTCCCCTATTTGTAGAAAGTGTGTCCCAGCCCAAAACCCCCAAACTGAGGTGATGTCAGGGTTTAGAAATGTTATTTTCTTGTATATTTGGTGTGTAAATTTCAAATTAAAATTTGGGTAATTTTTTTTAATAGAAAATACTACTGTTCAAATAAAACAACATGACCAAATTAAATAGGAACAAAATAAACTTTTCTTTCTGTTTGGGAAGGGTTTGTTATTTTTTTTAAAAGCAACATAAAACAATTTTTTTAAATGTCAAACGAGCTGAGGGGCAGGCATCAGTAGAACAAGTTTATAGTAAAAATGATAAAGTTGCTCGACACCTCTCCAAAAACTATTAATACTTTCAAAATGTTTCCAGTTATTGAATATAGGGTCTTAAAAAGAAAAATGCAGTTTTCAAACACAGATAAATTCCCGTACGACACAATGCTCTAGGATATCTTTTGTTAAGTGAACATTTTGCAGCTATATAAAGTGTTGGTATTTTGCTTTCAAGAAGCATGCCCAACATAATAACTGTTTATAAGGGAAGAACTTAGACTTGTTACAATGTGAAGAGACATACATGATCATTTTTTTTTCATCTTACTCACTTTAGAGCTAGTTAAGTAAATATTAGTGAGATGCACTTATTGTCAGCTTAATGGGCTACTGCTGCTACAGAATGACTCCCATTTGTTATATTCAGAAATTGGCTGAATACACTCAACTATGTGCAAGGGATAGTAAGCTTTCCACATCAAAGAACAAGGTATGTGGCACAGAGTAAACCCTATAATCAACTAACTCAATAGGAAACCTTTAACAAAATGACAGAAGTCCTTTCTTCTCAACTAAAAAACCTAACATCAAATGCATTTCTTCTCATTAAGGGCGGAACCACATATCTCACACACAAGTCAAAACTAAAAGTTGTTTTTTTTTTTAATTATTTTTCTTAAAACTGAGCTAAACGAATATAAAAGACAGCATATTTTGCAACCCCTTATTTTCATTCATTAACTTTATGCTGCTTGGGAATCTCCATATTTAGTGTAAATAGTTGTGTTAAAAATACTTGAGAGAGAACAACAGTTCAAATATAAACTTCATCACTAATTTAAATTGCTAGCAGATGGCTGCAGTGGCCTTGCACATGAGTAATTTTATTATACATTTACACACATGCATACATAACTAGAGAAAGACCTCTACTGGGTAAGACCATATCAAATAGTTTCAGACAAAAACTGTTAAGATAGCTAATATGTGCTTTCAACCTGAATGCTATCTGGGGCAAAAGAGCACGAGAGTTTTTGCAGTATCCCAAAGCTAAGTTTTATAAGTCAGGTAACTCAGAGTTAAGGTTACACACACAAAAGAAATACAGAACTGCACAGTCAGGACACAACCTTAACTCCACCATGCTGAGATATCTTGCAGTAACCTTTGGCTGAATAAGTAACTCTCCAATGAAGTGATGTGGCGTAATTCCTTCCCCCTTACCTTTAAGTACAAGGAAGCTGAAGCAAAGAAATTTAAAAATGGAGATGAAAGGCAATACTGTCAACTAATTTTAAGTGCTTGATTTGAGAAACTCAGAACCTGATTTTTCACTGTCTCTCTCAGTTTACAGAATATGTTCAGCATATATAGCACACACAACAACCTATAATCAGAAGTGCTCAGTTCTGAAAATCATATTCCATAAGTGTCAAATCAGGTACTGACACAAGGGAAGACAACACAGTGGCCATCCGTGAAAATTTTAGTTGAGGTCCTGGCACAGGATCCTGAAAAACCTCTGTACTTCTGAATATTTCTCCAGCGTGATGTTCAACTACCTTACCACTAAGACCAGTCTTTGTCCTCCTAAAGTTTCCTGTCACATTCACCTGACACTTTTTCACGTGTGCAACAAGAAACAGGTATATACACAACAGCCTCTTTTACTATGTTACCACTATGTTTTACTATGTTACTATTCACTACCACAATACAGTCCACCCACTAAGAAGCTTGTCTTTAAATACATGATCATATAATTCATATGCATAAAGATAGGTGTATGAAAGTTCTCTGTACATCCTTAGCTTTGGCATTTCCTACCCTAAATGCTGCGCATAACAATCCTAACGCATTATAGCATATGTGATTTCTAATTTTTTAAGTGTAAAATTATTTTACTTGATTTTACAGAATGAATTTTTTTTTCAATTTAATCAAATCAAATGGGAACAAAAGTAAGTTTTTGCTTCTCCCCTCTACTAAAAACAAACAACCCCCTCCTCCAAAACCCCTGTTTGTGTGGGTCTTTCAGATTCCCTTAGGAGTGGGAGGGCTTTTTTAAGGCAATATAAAACAAATAAAAAATGTCAAAAGAACTGAAGGGCAGGCATCTGTCTTCAGCAGTAGCAGCAGCATTTGAATCTTGAAATCCACAGCATAACACAGCACGTTGCCATCCGACCTAAGAGTACAATATGCACCTGCCACTAGAGGGGGATGAAGATGCCCTCTGCAACAAGGTGTCAGAGCTGTTCTGCTACCTGGAAAAGGAGGGCTGAGACTATGGGAAAGTGCTCCATTCCAGGTTCTACAGGGAAGCGTTACTGGTGAAAAATATTCAAGACTACTTCTGTCCATCATAGGGAGGATATTTTTGTACCTATCTGAAGTCAATTGAGTTGGTAAGTTCAAGTAATAAAAAGAGAGAGATGGAAAATAGGAACAAATTTTAAAAGTTACATATACAAAACCAGACTTACCTCACGTTAGTTTCGTCATTAAACTCTTCAGCCCATTTCTTTCTAGACTGAGCTGTAGTTGAACCATCTAAACGATAGTAGTCAATATTTCTGAACCATTTTCCTTCACCTAGGAATTTGAAGGACAGGCGATTAAAAAGATACTGGCACAATATAAAAATACTAGGCAGCAGTCTTGTTTTTATGCTATTTGTTCCTTAAGTGCAAAAACTTGCAGAACCCATGAAGAGATGGGTTTTGATAGGACATAGTGTTGTCTTGTGTCAGTTGTGAAAATTCCACAATGCAAGATGTACTATGAAATACTGAAAACAGGATTACAGAAAAAAGTATAGATCATGATTTGGGACAATAATTGTCCTGAGCTTTGAAAGCAACAGGTGATTTGTTTGAGAAACTCCCCTAATCCACAGGCAGCTTTACCAATAATAAGAAAAGCAACTTTAAAGTGACTCAAGAATGAAATTAAATGAATTTTGGGAATAACATCCTGGCCCAGATAGTGTCCCAGGTCTAGCTGTATTTTCTTCTTCCCATGGAGATTTTGCTGTTTTAAAAAGTTAACTAAGTGATACTTCCAAGAACAGTTTTACTTAGTTTGCAATTTAGAAAGACGAGGATACAATCAGGATTTATACACTGAGGTCAAACTTTAATTGAAATATTTTCAGTAACCTTTAGTTAACTTTTCTAAGATTTGCCTCTCTCTTTTCCTGGTCTGTTCCCTCCCATTCCTTCCCCCTCCCTTGTCATCTCAAGTTTCTAGTGGTCTGGACATGTTTGCAACAAAATCATCAATCAAGTTTCTTGTTTAACCTTAGTGCAAAAGTTAATTTTAAAAAGTAACTACATTTAACCTTTAGGCATTATACCAGTAACCCTAATTTTCTAATTGATCTTTGTAGTTTGCATGTTTTCAATTACTCTAGGCTTCAGTCTCTCTGATACAAATTGCACCCTTAAGTAAATGCTTGAAAGGGGATTTCAAAAAGTCAAGGTCTAATCATTTTGGAACTGAAATTTAGAACAGCTGCTTGAGTTTAATTAGCCTGTGAGTTATGGCTACTTCTTGCCAGATGTAAAAAAATTACAGCTGATAGAAGCAGATTTTTTTCCTTCCCTTTTAGAACTAACCTTTCATTTTCTCTGGAGGTCAAGGTTTATTTACACAAAATGAACCCCACTGTGTCATCGATTAAAATCAGAGCAGGTCTTGTAGGAAGTAGCATTGCTGAATGATGATAAATTATGAGAAACTGCATGTTAACTCATGTCAGAAACGTCTATATTTAGTAAATCTTGTGCAGAATTGGTAACCTTGTTGCACATCAAAAGAACCACCACAAACAGGAAAAAGCAAAAACTTTGTAAAATTAGCCCAAGTGATATGAACGGGCTACAGTAACGTAGAGAGCTCACAGAATCCCAAGACAACAAATGGTGAGAAGCTGAACAAAAGGGAAATTATTAAGTACACTATGTGACTAATAGAGCGCCAGCAGTGAGAAATGAAAATACAAAAAGAAAGCAGCTGAAGAACTTAACCTGGCTGGCTAACTAACTGCAGTACAGGTATTTTTAATCACCTGTAAATTGTTATGGAATTGTTCAAGATTTTTACACAAAAACAAGAATCTTTGAAAGCGATGGTAGAACTAAGGAGTTTCCTTCAACATCCGCTGTGTGAAATAGTCACTTCCAGGTAAAAATGAACTGAACTGAAGTATTAAATACATGAGAAGTAATTAAGTAAAGCTCTAAAACAATAACCATGTCCCATATTCAGGAACACGGAACAACTCATGCATACAATGCATACATATTAGAGAGCAGGTAAAAACTCATTCATCAATGTATACACGTCGAACTGGAAATCTTAAATGGCTTTAGTTGATTCAATCCAAAAGATTCAGATATTGGAAACATTTCAGGTGACAGATATGCTCCCCATGATGCAGAAGATAGGGCAGGGCAGCACCACAGACAAAGTAATTCAGAGAGTCATGAACTTCTGTAGGCAACAACCTATGAAGTCAGATGGTAGGCATGAAAACTCATGCCTCAGAACCAGTCAGTCAGTCTCTGACTTCTGCCTGACGCAGGTAATCACATCTTCCCCTCCTCATGGGAGATAATTCTGAGCAAGAAATAGATTCAAAACCAAACCAGAGAAACTTTACCCTCAAGTATACTTTTTGGTGCTTTGAGTAGCTGAAAGCAATGTTTAGAACAGAAACATCAGAAGCTAATAATATTTATTTTTTTCTATATTACTTTACATATTTGATTAATGTATGGATCAGACTGGAGTTTTCTAATCCTCCACGGATACTAGACTGCACAGAGAGAGGTTAATCAACTTCCTGCCCCAAAAGTCCATATATAGGCCACAAACCATGATGCCTTTCAAACTGCAGAACTGGTTTCCACATACACACAAGAATATATATAACGAATTGTTTAATAACTAATTTTCTGAATGCCTTCCCTAGGTAAAAAGTATTCTCTCTTTCTCCAACAGATGTTGCCATCACCAAATTAATTATGAAGAACATATTTTAAAGTGGAAAGATGGAAACAATAAAAACATATAGGTCCAAAATATGATGAATAGCTACATATGACCTTGCAATACCTTTGAAAGTCATCTGAAGAAGCAATTATATACTAAATTTTTCCTTCAATAAAATATTATGGCATATACTACCATTTTAAGGGAGACCTGATATTTCACTTTTTTTTTTTTTTAAGAGTTTAGACCTCAGCATTTCAAATGGCAGGTTCTCCATAAGATCATTCCAATGGAGGAGCAAGGAAGCAATAAGTCAGTTAAATGAATCTATCCTTAACCCAATTAAAATCCATACACATACAACTGGAGCAGAAAATTTAATTAAAAGGATACTCTGCACTCCCAGTCTCTTGGGATATCTAGAAATCACACTCACCTTTATAAATAGGTTTCTCTTTGTCAGTTTTCTCCGTGCTGGCCAGCTCAAGAAAGTCTTCTATCAAATCCAGTGATATTAGAGACTGGCTAAAAACTAGACTGAAGAGAGAAAAAGCAGAATACAGCATTTGCCTCTAACAATTTCAACAAATTTCATTACTGTTTTCCTTGTCTTCAGCTTGGATATTATCTTTGAAACAGATTAGCTTTTTAGACCGGGTGAATCTTGCTTTTATCTTAAGATAAAAATAACTTAAGCAAACATAAATATTTCAGACAAATTGAGCTATATCTTTGAGCTCAACATAAACATTAAAATGGGCACATGATGAAGTAAACTAAGACAAAATAATACATTTAAATAAGAATTAAAACAGAAAACAAAACTTCCCACAAATTACTCATTAAAAAAATCCTGACTTACACTTTGTCACCGAGCTCCTCTGCCATACGAAGTATTTCCAAGAGAAGAACCATTTTCCCAGAATGCTCCAATATTTCAGCATCTGCATCAGTGACAAAATCCTTATACCAGTCTGGAGCTGGGCTTCCTGGGTTGGAAGAGGATGTGGCTTTACCTGCAAAAGAAAGATATTATTAAACTAAAAAGAATCTCCTTAACAGGAAGGCTCCAGAATGTCTAAAATTCAGATGCTTAAAAATCCTAAAGATACAGACTGGTCTCTGCAATCAAAGGTTTTGTGTTTACTTGTACTGACTGCACTAAGTCAAGGATCGGCTAATGTACGAAAGAACTGGTTCAGCTTTACTAATGATCAGTGTAGCTCTGCTACCTGTCTTTTCCCCAAGGGAGTATTTATCCTTTACCCTCAGCTACTCTCTCCCCTAAAACTCAGCCACATGTTTTACCTGGACAGTACAGTTGTTTCAATTCCTTTTAAAATCATGATCCTAAATTCCAAGCAAGGATTTTTTTTTAAACAAGAAAGCTCATCTAAAGCCATCCACATAGGGCTATGTAGGATTGCTCCTCAAAATATGTCTAGCTGTTGTGTTTGTTTTGACATACATTAAAGTCTCTCAGGCCATTTCACTTTATTAAATGGCCCACTACAAAGACACAATACACAATAATAAATCTCAGCAAACCTGAGCTTAGGATTTGTTTTGTTCTCTTTAAAAATAACAATCAAGAGCAAAAAGGATTTTTTTTTAACCAAGTCAAAACTACTAATGAGATCTTCCTAAATTTACTTAGAAAGAGATTCTAAAACCAAGTTTTAAAAAATGGATAAGCACAGAAGGGGCATATTTTTCATAATAATTGTATGCAATCTTGTAGAAACTGTTCACAGTTATGACCCTTTGTGCTGGAAATAGTGTAAGTACACAGAAAGAGGTTTCATTTCTTTATGGAATATAAGTAACTTCTTATTTTGAATGTCAGATCATAAACAGTTCTTTAATCCACTGTTTACATAAAACTTATAGTGAACTGATTTAAGGTGCTTCTAATGTCTTAACAGCCGAGTTCTGTGAAATTAAGAAAATGATACTTTACAACATTTCCCTTGTTTCATCCTTCCTAAAAATAAAAATGATTAAACAGATGAGATGAGCAGAATTATAAAAATTTGTACCTGACTATTTCTGTGCTGAAATAACTGTACCCAAAAAAACCAGGCAACATCTGTTTTGCTATAACTCCCCTAGTTTTGAAGCATCTGGAATAGAGAATGCCCTCCTCCTAGAGAGAGCTTTATCTCTATTCAGAAACACTACTGAATTTGAAGGTTTATTTGCAAATTCATAATTTGATCCTGAAATGTAGACAGGAATCAGGGGTTGTCTTTATTTATGTTACCCAAATTCTTTTTATAATGCTGTATGTTCCTGGCTTTAATCTTCTTTGCATTAGTGTGATATATATTGATTTATTAGAATTACAATACAAACATTTGTTCACTTAAAAACTTTGATCTTAATGCACTGTTTACTTACATAGAACACTTTTCTCCTAGTCTACTGGTAATTCAAAACATTCAATTTTTAAAAGCACATACAGCAAACTAGCTGAAAGGAAGATCCATCATGGCCGAATAGTCACCCCCAACATCTCAGTCAATATCCTCTTCAGAATGGAGGAAAGAATTCTCTCAAGAAGGTAATTTCTCTGTACACATTTTTAAGAGTAGTTCTAAATGATGTTAAAGTTGGTCCTTAATGCAACCTATTGTGACTGACTTTGATCCAATGCAATGGAACCATTTCTTGTCAACACCCAACTGAACACAGAAGAATGAAGAATGCAAGCTGCGAACACTTTAATGATCAGTTTCCTTTTTTCAAAGTTTGAATCAAATAGCATTTCAGTGTACTGGAGCTATTTGAAAGTTTTTCTAATTTTACCAAGATCACAGGCCGAGTGTATGAAAAAACCAAGGGGTATTTAAAATACTACAGTTAAGGACCAAAGGAAAAAAAGTGATCGAAAAAACGGCACTGGAAGCAGCTGTTTGCTAAAATGTACATAAACACACATCCCTTTCAAAATGAGGTCTATAACTCAACTGAATTTCAGTCTCTGCAGGAGAACCACTGAAGCAAATTCAGTGCCCACTGGAAAAAAGATGAGCCATAAGCATAAACTGCAAGTGCTAGTAGGGTGCTGTCCCCTGTCCCCAAAAAGGGATAATTATTAATTATTTGTACAACAACCGGTTAAGAGCTGCAGTCATAGACCAAGATGCCACTGTATCAGACACTACGCATATTGAATAGGAAGATAGTTCCTGCACCAAACCTAGTAAAAAATGAGAGCCAGCAGATGTAGATAAGTGTATGCAAGTACCAGGAACAGTAAGATACTATTGATTAGCAGTGATAGGCAGTGGTGTTGCTACCTCAATGGCCTAAATGCTGTCAAGCTTCTTGCAGGCATCACAGCAAAGAAGAGTTTTTAAAGAAGCATCTGGAGGAAGATACAGTTAAATAGTTTTGCAGATGTCTTCCCCTTCAAAAGAACAAGCAGCACTCTGGCAGCAGGCACAATATGGTGCTTGTTTGAAATTTAAAGGGTGAATGACAGAAGCTAGCATCCTGGGCCAACTACTGACAGGTGCTAACCTCTTATTAGAGCATGACAAATACTGGGAAGCAGGAGAAAAAAAATTCTCCCAGATTATCTGAACATGCTGTGAAGGACTCTGGAAGTGAAAATAAATTGCTTATTTTAAGCGACAGACAAAGAAAATTATCTGCGTAGCAGCATTTGGAATGGATGCAAGCATGTGAAAGTAAGAAAAATAAATAAATAAATGTTGCAGATTGGGAGAGGCTTGGTAGACATAGGCACTATGGTAGAAGAGTGTCGATATTGGTAGAACATAGGCACTATGCAGTGATTGAGAACAGAAGTAGTAAGAAGAGTCAGACTCAGGGCAGATTACCGACACTGCAGCTCAAGTCATTTACCAATCGTTAGGTTGATTAGGAAGGAGGAGGCCTGGAGCAAAGAGTTAAGCACATATGATGGGACCTGAATTTGTGCTTGAAAAATCAGATTACCTGGTGATAGAAGTGTAGGGGGTGAGGTGAACAACTCTACAGTCTTAGCCAATGTACAGATGTTCATTTTCTACTCAGAGATTTGCTGTTCTCCGAGTAGGAAACAAAAGCATGAAGACATTCAAGCTTTTTCTTGCAGATCAAAAATGGTCACTCCAGGAGAAAAAATAACCCAGGAACAAACAGGGTTAAATCTTTCCTGGGGAGTTTCTCCTGGGAGACTGAATGCCTGCCTACTTTCTCCCCAGCCTAACTCCTTCTGGGGACCAGGATAAGTGTAGCCAGAGGAAAGGCTCCCATGTTTTCTCAAGGCTGGGTTCTTTGATCTGGAGAACATGTGGAGGCAGGGGGGAGAAGGGAGGGAGCAGCTGCTCCCTCCCTGCCAGTCATAGACAGGAAGGGAGGGAAGGAACTGCTTCAGCTGCTCCCCACCTGCCCCTCACACCACAGTTCTCAGTGTGAGAAGCAAGCTAGCTGGGGCTTTGCTGTGCTGCTCCTTCTGCTCAGCTCCTGAATAGCAGGAGAGCACTTCTCCCTTCCAGCTTCCCCTTGTCCTCAGCCCCACTCAGCTGAGTGCTGGGGATGGCAAACGAGGCTTGGAAGCCTGGCTCTGAACCATGCCAGCTTCCCCCCAAGTCTCTCCTGCTGCTTAGCTGAGCAGTGGGAACAGTGATTTAAAAGCTGGAGGGACCAGCAGCCAGACATGCACAGGCTTTCCGCCCAGAGGCTCGCCATGGTTGCTGAGTGCTCCCTTGCCTTCTGTACTTCTCCAGGTCAGCCCAGAGGACAGCAAGGAGCAGGGACTATTTTCTCACGGGGGAGAGCTGGGAGGCTTCCCATCTTGGGAGAATTTCCCCACTTGCCAATCACCTGATTGGTGGGATGTGGCAGAGGGGGCATTCTCCTGGGGCTGGGACCCTCCCAGAGCTGTCTGTGACAGCTGCTGCTTTTCAGCAGCTGACAGCTGTCACTTGACAGCCTGCCCCATTAACAGCGTGTCAATTAATAGGCTTCCCTGGGGGGGGGCAGGGATGATGATGATGATGATGATAGCCCTCTAGTGCCTCCTGGCTGAAAAGCTTGCCTGTGAAGCTCTCTAGTCACGGGGCTGGAGGAGCGCGTCTCTTCTGGTGGGAATAATGTCTGCATGCAGCCCTAGAGAACTCCTACAGAAAGCGGGAATGGGCAGTAAGCAGGATCAAACAGAGGGATATTGAGAAGGTACTGAGAAGAGCACAGTTGGTGGTGTCAAAGGCAGCTAAGAACTCACGGCAGAAGAGGAAGAAACACTGGTTCTAAGTTTTCACTAGGAAGCCTTTGGTGAAACCTATTTCAGAGCAGTGCAAGATTAAAGAAGCTTAAAGATACAATCAAGTGGGGATCTCCACAAGAGGATTGTAAACAGCACACTCAGGCCCTGGATAACTATGCTAATTGAAGAACTCCAGATGCTTTTGAAGGGTTCCAGTGAGGGTATGGATTTGCATGGCTGACAAAGCATTTAAAAATAACCCTCAATAAAAAAGAGGAATATTTTTTATTCATTTCCTCAAAGAGCTTGCTAGAGCATCTGTATGGGTCAGTGATTCTTTGACATTCCCAAGAGCTGTCCCACTATCCTAGTGGGACAGCCCACAAGCACTTTCCTGTGTGCTCATCTGTTCTGGGGAACCTCTGACAATTTTGAGGCACTCCAGAGATGGGATGGGGAGTGAGGCCACACATTTGCATTGTGCAATTTGAAGTGCATCAGGATTCAGATCAGTCCAAATGCATGTCTGTCCATGGTTTCAATGGATCAGAGATGAGAAGAAGAATAGGCGGGCAAAAGAACAGTACCTGGGATGAAGCCACTATAAAAAGTGGAGAAGTCAGAAGAGGAGAAGCTTCTGTATACATGATGGAAGGGAAGAGAGAGAAAAAACAGATTATAAACCAATATAAGATTAATGGATTATTAGCCAATATTTTACTTTGCCCATAGGAGAAATCAGCAAGATCCTGTACAGAGGGGGAAGTACAGGAAACCTTCGCTGTTCGTGGGTTCGACATTCGCGATTTGAAATATTCGTGAATGCTGAACCCGCATCTTAAATACACTTAAAGGAGCTCCTCAGGAACTCCATGCTTGCCACTGCCGCGCTCCCGCTACTACCACCACCAGCATAGCCGTGCCCCAACCAGCCGCCCGGAGCCCTGCGTTCATGAACGTAGACAGCGCTCACGAATGCAATACCTTATTCATGGATTTCGCCATTTGCAGGGAATACAAGAACGTATCCTGCGTGAATGGCGATGGTCTCCTGTAGATGGAGGAGGTGGGCACTCTGGCCATGTACAGAGTCACTGTTCTCCCAGGAAAAGCAACGAGTGTACAGGTGTCCAGGATTCATGTCCCAGAGCAAAAATGTCTGCTTCAAGAGAAAAATAATCCAGGAACAACCAGGGTTAAGATCACTTGCAGGAGAGTTTCTCCTAGTGAATACCTATATCCATTTCCTTCTGAAAGAAGTCACATTGTGGTCCTCCAGAAACCCAGGGTGCTTTACTCCCCACTTCCCTGCAGCGTGCCGAGCAGGAAACAGAACACACCCCCTTTACGATCCCTACATTGTGTTGCAGGGAGACAGGATAATGCTGAGCAGTCTGGGGTAGCCAATCAGGGCTTCCCTGTGCCATCTGTCTCCAGGCAGACAGAGGGAGCCTGCAGAGATGAGATGCGTGTGCAGGGGCCCCCTGGCTGTGCAGTGTTAACACTGCAAGCTCTCTGCTCTTCAGGGGCTCAGCATTCGATTGTCTGTTCAGGAGCTCCTGGGTAAGTTTCTCTACTAAGAATACAAACCTGGGACAATTCTCCCAGATCATTGGAACATGTAATGCACCCCTGTGAGCACGCTTATCCTTAAAATTAATACCAGAGCAAACAATTCAGTTATTTCAAATGGACTTATACATGCAATTGGACAAGCCTGCATACAACAAGCTTAACCCTGAACTTGCCAACAAAAGACATGCAATAAATCAATCTAGAAGTAGGACCCCTTTCACCAAAAAAACAAGGGAGAAGCAAATAGGCAAGCCTCTCTCAGTGTACCAAGCATCCATGTTGAAATGAATACATATGAAGTCAGATGAAGTAAAAAAATAACAGAACCCTTACAGTTATGAATTACATTTGTAGGCTAACTAATCAAAAATAATGTGATAACACTACTTAAAAGAAGAGTCTAACTAACTGTTGGCAATACATCCCAATATATATTACAAACCATTACACATTTATAACTGTATTTTGCCATAACTACTTAAATTTACAAATTCAATTTAATTTTCAAATGTCCATAAATACAAATTCTGCTTTTTTGATGATAGCAAAGTTATATTTATTTAGGAAAGGTTATTTCATTCATAAAATGGTATGCTGTCTATCATCTTTAACATGTACTTGAAAATGACTCATCACTCAGCAGAAGCAAAAGATAGCTAAAATATTAAAGTAAAACTACTTAAATCACATTTACAGATGTAGGTAGGCTGATCAACTTACTCTCAAAAAGCCATTTGAGTCTCTGTGTTCTATCCACCTATTCTGAGACCCTTAAAACCCCCATAGGTTTAAGAACTGAAAAACAATAGTTTTCTACCATTCAATAGCATATTTCACCTGTGAAATCTACTCTGAATTTACTTCACAATTTACTTTGCAAGAAAAAAGGAGGGAGGATTTATTCTATTATACTCAATAAGAAAACTTTGACTTGTTAACTGTTATGTCACAACACAGGCAGTCCCCAGACTTGCAACACAATTGGTTCCCGAAAACCATGTCTTAAGTCGAAATGTTGTACAACCAATTTTCTCACAAGAAACAATGTTATAAATGGGAGATTGGTTCTTGAACCAAGGCCCGATACCCTATTTTCAACAAAAATACCCCAGAATTTTGTACTCGATCAATTATAGATGAGTAATATAGCTACATTACTGTATTTATATTGTAAATAGCAATCATCTTGATTTGGAAGGACTTCTTTGAGGTGACTTTGCTGGACTTTTTGAAGGGCTCTTGGTTGGACTTTTTGAACTGTTCTTGGCTGGATTCTTCTCAGGAGTCCTGGCTGCAGGTTTTTCTGAAGTCTTGTCTGCTTTGTTAAAGAAAGTGTTCAAGGAAGTTTAGACAGATGTTCTCCAGGGAGATGGGTGACACAGCAAACCTGTTTGCTGGCGTGGCGTCACATTGGATCAAGCGTTGTAAAAGTTGAAACTGACAAAGTTGAAACAGGGTGTCAATTTAGAAACATTTTAAGTGCGAAACGTTGGAAGTCGAGGACTGCCTGTATTCTTTCATCCTTACGGAGTGATGCTGCTTCTATTTTTCAATGGGTAAATATTATTACAAGTATATTTTGATATAATAAAAAAATTGGTAGGGTGGGCTAGAACAGAGAGAAAGTTCCTTGAACTAAGATGTCATCTTTCGTAACTGAGTGTAGTGCAAAGTTGATTGAACATAATTTCCCCATTGATTTGTCATGAATAAACAATGTCACTTTTCAAAATGATGCTGCATCATATCCTGATTTACTTGTGCATTATACTTACCCTCATCTGATTTTGCAGGAATAGCAGGGGTGTTTGCAAGGTCCTCTGTATTTCCTTCTCCACCTCCACGAGACCTTGAATTCCAAACTTTAATCACTTCAACATCATTATCACTGCCACTGCCACTGCCACTGGGGCTGCTTTCTTTCTTCGCTTTTTTCCCCTTGGATTTTTTTTTCCTAAAAACATAACATTGTATGCTTACTATTTAAGAAGCTACCATTCAGAGAACATAAGCAATAGTAAAAATACAAATGTTGCTTAATTGCATTGAACATTTACTTAGTCACTCTAAAAAGAAAATGAAACCAACTGATTTTGATCATGTACAATTTACATGAAACAAACAATTTACTTTGCATAATCATCAGAGCTTAAACTCATTGAAGTTTCGTCAGAATCTGAAGCTATGAAGTCATCCAGACTATCTTCATCAAAATAGCCCTGGAAAACAAAATTAACATTCTTAGAACATCGATATTACTGGTATTAAATATCATCATCCAGACTGAAACCTTTTTTTAAACATTTAAGCACCTACTTATCCTTCATTTAAATAATACCAAGGTCAATGAAAGAACAGCCTTCCAAACTGTTTTAATAATGGCAAAAGACTCGGAAACAAAAAAAAAAATGCTAGCCATGGGTAAACAAAGCTGGCAAAAATCAGTATATCCCACAGCAACAAAAATTTCCATTCATTTGCCGAAACTCTTCCCAACACTTGGTAATGACTCATTCAGAAAGTTTACAAGGGAGGCACAAGTATGTATTTTGATATACCTAATTTACCTTATTTTCTTTGCTAATATAGTCCAGCTGCAAACACCAAGGGTGAGTCCAGATTCTACTTAACATCTGGAAGTCCTGAAAGAGTTTAGCTCCAGCTTTGCCTCTTCCACCTTCACCGCTACCTACACCTGACAATAAAGTTCAGATTTTAGAACAAAAGCTTGAACAAGTTTGCCACAATTTTCCCCGCTTTGAACAACCCATTAGTTCTCTGCAGTGTTCTCTCCAGGTGTACACCTTACATTTTAGCATCTCTTGTAAAAGCGGTCATATTACTTAGTTACAAGAATTATTTTTCCAGTTAAAGTGGTCAAAATTAGATTTTCCCCTCCTTCTTGGTAATGAGAAACATCTTAATGATGACAATTATATGCAGGAGTGTACTCTCCAGTCAAAATGAGTTCACTAAAATCCGGTTAGGCTTTAGTTAGGCTTTACAAATGTCATTGTTTTAAAAACGGTAAGATTTATATTTAGGTTTCAATGAGTTCTGTTGATTATTCTGATGCAACTGTTTCTTCATATGCTTTGTAACATTCGCATGGTATTACTATGTTAGTGTAGACAAGCCAGAAGGTAGATAGATACTTAATATACTCTTCATTGTCCAAGCTGAAATGAGTGCAGAAAGTAAACAGAATTTGTGGATTTAAACTTTTCTTGTTTATAGTCTAAACTGCTGGTAAAGAAATGCACTGACAGAGTCCTTAAAACAGATTAATTTTCCCAGCAGCGTATTTAAAACCTTTGTTAACGAGAGTACTAAGGACATTATCAAAGTGAAAGGCAAAAGTAAGTTAAATTAGGTGAGCCAAGCTGCTTTTTGCCATTTTAGAAACATTTTACACGCTGGTTGTCTACATATACAGTAAAAGCTTTATTATCCGGCACCCAGGGGGAAAGGGGTGTCGGGTAACAAAATATGCTGGTTAACTGAGAGGCCCGAACAGGCGTCTTTGCCTGTTCGGGCCGCCGCTTCTCCCGCTGCATCACCGCCCCTCCCACAGATCCTGAGGGACACGGAAGCGGGCCCCGCACAGACTGCTTTGCCCCGAGCAACAGGGGCTCGGAGAAACTGGAAGTGCCCGCTGTGGCACTTCCAGTTTCACTTTTATCTTACAAGCTGGCATGCCGGTTAATAGAATGTGTCGGCTTGTAAGGTGCCGGTTAACAGAGCTTTTATTGTAGTTATACATGTTCTTAGCTAGTCATAAAATACCAACTTTGGTGATGGGGCTAGAAAAGTAGTTATGAAAGTTTGTTTAGATGCTTTGACCTGTTCTTACCAAAGCAGAAAAGTCGCATGCTCTAGAGTGTCATTAAGATAACAATTCCTACACCTCTTATACTATATTTTCTATGTTGTTTCCTATATCCAGTTATTTTTTTCTATATTTTTGAAGAACAGAAGCAGTTTTCCCTGTCAGAAGAGAAAAGAAGACTTCCTAAAACTGTATATTTTAGTATTCTCTTGAAGCATATCCAAAACAGAAGTTTTCTTTTTAAACTTTTACTTGTATTTGCAGCTAAAAAGCCTTCATAAGGAGGCCTTACTTTCAGATATTTACTTCATACAAATCAAAAAGTCCACTTATTTAGTCAGAACTACTGAAACATAAAACTAATGAAGAGCATTACCACGAGTCCTGATTGCTTAATGCAGAGCATTGCATTTAATTTAGAAATCAGTCACCTGGCTTAAAAGGTAGTGGCCTAGAGACAGAGTAACACTTGAAGACTGAAAGTCTAAACAGATTTGTGATAACTAACAGTCCTTGAGTGAGCTGGGGAGACGCACTCTTAAAAAACCCACTAATAACTAAGAGCAAGGCTACATCCGTCAGGTCAGATTCAAAGACTATTCAAGTCTACAGGAATGTTTTCTCTGACTACAGCAGGAACTGGATAAGGCCATTATAGAGGCAGTTTGCCTTCAATCTGCAGCCTAGTAAATACAAAAACACACAACTGTACTTGTACCCACATCATAATGTTAAGTGAAGTCTTCGGTGCCAGTACAGAATAAGAGCCTATATTATTTAAACATGCTGGCTATCTTTTCTATCAGTCAGTATCCCTCATGAGAGACCACTCCCTTGTTAAAAACAAGCTCTGTGTAATATGGCAGATAAAGAAAATCATTAGCACTAAAAATTATGTGAAAAATCACAAACTTACAAAGCAGACCAGGAAAACTTACAGAAATTTGTGGAACCACTACTGCTGCTTTGACATACAAAGCTGTTATGAAGACTCATTCTTAGAAACATAGAAAATTAGGGTTGGAAGGGACCTCAGGAAGTCATCTAGTCCAACCCCCTGCTCAATGCAAGACCATCCCCAACTAGCTCATCCCAGCCAAAGCTATGTCTAGCTGGGTCTTAAACACCTCTAAGGATGGAGTTTCTACCACCTCTTTGGGTAACCTGTTCCAGTGTTTTACTACTTTCCTAGTAAGAAAATTCTTCCTAATATCCAACCTAAACTTCCCTTGTTGCAACTTGAGACCATTGCTCCTTGTTCTGTCATCTGCCACTACTGAGAACAGTCCAGCTACATCCTCTTTCGAACCCTACAGGTAACTGAAGGCTGCTATTAAATCTCCTCAGTCTTCTCTTCTCTAGAGAAAATAAGCCCAGTTCCCTCAACATTTCTTCACAAGTCATGATCCCCAGCCCCCTCACCATTTTTGTTGCCCTCCACTGGACTCTCTCCAATTTGTCCACATCCTGTAAAGGGGGGAGGGGGGGAAAGGAGGAGGAAGAAAGGTGCAAAACTGGGCACAGTACTACAGATGTGGCTGCACCAGTGCTGAATAGAGGGGAATAATCCCTTCCCTTGACCAGCTGGCAACACACCTACTAATGCAGCCCAGGATGCTGTTAGCCTTCTTGGCAACAAGGGCACACTGCTGGCTCATACTCAGCTTATTGTCCACTGTAACCCCCAGGTCCTTTTCTGTAGAACTGCTGCCCACCCCATCAGCCCCCAGCCTACACTGGTGCATAAGACTGGTTTGTCCTAAGAGCAGGACTTTGCACTTGTCCTTGTTGAACCTCATGAAACTCCTTTTGGCACAATCCTCCAATTTGTTTAGGTCTCTCTAAATCAGGGGTGGGCAAAATGCGGCCCACCAGATCATTCCATCTGGCCCCCGCCCCCAATATTTAGGAAATTAATATTCATCTGCCCCGGCTGCCCGTAATGCGGCCCTTGATGGCTTGCCAAAACTCAGTAAGCGGCCGTCCGCCCAAAATAATTGCCTGCCCCTACTCTAAGTCCTAGCCCTCCAGCATATCTATTACTCCCCCCAACTTGGTGTCACCTGCAAACCTGCTGAGTGTGCACTGTATGCTATCTTCCAGGTCACTGATGAAGACATTAAATCAAACTGGCCCCAGGACCATCCCGTGGGGCACTCCACTGGATACCGCCCACCAACTAGACATTGAGCCATTGATTACTACCCTCTGAGCCCAATGCTCCAGCCAGTTTTCTGTTTACCTTACAGTCCATTCATCCAGCCCATATTTCCTTAGCTTGCCTTCAAGAATATTGTGGGACACCATACGGAAAGCTTTGCTAAAACCAAGGTACACCACATCCACTGGTCTCCCTGCATCCACAGAGCCAGTCATCTCATCATAGACGGCAATCAGGTTGGTCAGGAATGATTAGCCCCTGGTGAATCCATGCTGACTGTTCCTAACCACCTTCTCTTCCAAATGCTTAGAAATAGATTCCTTGAGGATCTCTTCCATGATTTTTTCAGGGATTGAGGTGAGGCTGACTGGTTTGTAGTTCCCTGGAACCTCCTTTTCCCCTTTCTTAAATATGGGCACTAGGTTTGCCCTTCTCCAATCATCTGGGACCTCTCCTAATCGCCAAGAATTTTCAAAGATGTTGGCCAATGGCTCTGCGATTTCATCAGGCAACTCCCTCAGCACCCTTGGGTGCATCCCATCTGGCCCCAAGGATTTGTATATGTTCAGCTTTTCTAAATAGTCCCTAACCTGTTCTTTTTCCACTGTTGACTAGCTGCTCACCTCCTCCCCAAACTGTGCTGCCCAGTGCAGTAGTCTGGGAGGTGACCTTGCCTGTAAAGACTGAGGCAAAGAAGGCATTGAGCATTTCAACCTTTTCTGCATCCTCTGTCACAAAGCTGCCACTCCCATTCAGTAAGGGAATTGCACTTTCCCTCAGCCTCCTCTTGCTACCAACATACTTGTAGAAACCCTTCACATCCCTTGCTAGCTGCAGCTCCAATTGTGCTTTGGCCTTCCTGACTTCATCCCTGCATGCCTGAGCAATGCTCTTATATTCCTCTCTACTTATTTGTCCAAGTTTCCACTTCTTAGAAGCTTCTTTTTTGTGACTCGGTTTACTGAAGAGTTCTATGGTAAGCCAAGCTGGTTTTCTGCCATACTTGCTAGTCTTCCTGCGCATCAGGATGGTTAATTCCTGCACTCAGTAAGGCTTCTTTGAAGTACAGCCAGCTCTCCTGGACTCTTCTCCCACTCAGTCTGACTTCCCAGGGGATCCTGCCCATGAGTTAAAATCTGCTTTTCTGAAGTCCAGGGTCCTTACTCTGCTACTGTCCATCCTTCCTTTCCTCAGGATCCTGAACTCTATCATCTTGTGGTCACTGCTGCCCAAGTTACCATCCACTACTACACTCCCCACCAATTCCTCCCTGTTCGTGAGCAGCAGATCAAGAAGAGCAAAGCCCCTAGTCAGCTACTCTAGCACTTGGATCAGGAAGTTGTCCCCAACACTCTCCAAAAACTTCCAGTTCTGGCCTATTAGGTTATATTAAGATACATTAAGGAGAATTCTCCATGAAGATTTTTGTTTTTAATTGCACTGCTTTTGGAGGATATACAAAACAATTAATGGTCCAGAAACTAAACAGCAACTTCTAAATAAAACCATTGTGTGTGCAATGACTGAACCATATCACTTCTCCATAATGCTGCCATCAGTGTTCCCTGCTGCTTTGCTGCAGACATGAACCATGGGCCGTCATTTTGGTGTTAGCTTCTGAAATACCCTTGTATATCTGGAATGCTGTAGAAACTAACACAATATAAAGATATTTTCCTTCAGAGCATTTATGTAGGTAAGACTCACTACATAACATATTATTTTACAGACGTGACTATAGGTAAGCTCAATGCAAAGTCAAAGTTGTATCTGTTGTGTTTTGGAGTACACTTCCAAAGCCTTATTTTAAAAGTAGAACAGCAAGAATGCCTTTACTTTTTGGACTCAAATTTATTACAAATTAATTACCTATACTGGACTGTTTAGATCTGTATCTTATCTCAAATAAAGACAATAGCCCAGAAAGTATTTTAAAAAGAAATCTTGGTTGGCAATTTATCTAAGATAACTACACCGCACTATAATCCAAGTAAATTAATACAACACCGCATATTTCATACCCAAATTTAACATCTGATATAAATCACAATTTGATATCGGATACAAAACACCTTATCTGCCTTTTCTTGATATACTTGACAATGTAACTGAAACACTGTAACCCCTACCCAGCCAGGTGCCTACTACCCAGACCAGGAAATGTCAAAGACAACTGCACAAAATAAGCTGACACAAAGAATTAACAAGAATTGTCCCTAGGTAGCAAGGGCAAATAAGGCAAACTGCAAGCTTCAGAAAAACACCTTTGCTGGCACACCTCGATTCTGCATTCTACTCTCGTCGATCTTTCTGATTATTTCACTACACAGGAGACAAACAACTGGTCTAGAACAAAATAAATAACTTTCTCTTCAGAGCCCCTCTGAAATTATTTATGTAAGAGATAATAGCAATTAATCCATATAATGAAGTTAGTTGTTTTATTTCCGAGAAAGGAATGACAAACCACACACAAGAAATATGACTTAGTAATATGCAATAAATATTTCATTATATGAAGCCAAGTATTGTGCAGAATCAAGTTTCGGAGCAAAAACAGATTCCCGCTGCAAACAGAAAGGACCATCTATAGAGTTGTTTATGAAAACAGGGCAAAAAAATTAGGTGAAAATTAATTACGTTATCCTACTGTGCTGTAGCTACTTACCTGTTAAGTGATCCAAGTAGAATTGATAGAGTTTACACTGAAGAGGCGTCATTCTAACTGCAAGAACGTACTCATGTTTTGGTGGCAGGAACTTAGTTAATGCAGTGTAATCTTTTCTCTGTAATTTTACAAAAGGGATGTTTGGTCAGAACAGATAAATCTCTGCATTTTAAAACTTTTGGCATCTTAATATACAGACACTGTCTTTTATCTAATGTATCTGGCTGGTTAGTCAAGTGCATGCTACATGTATCACTTCAGTGTGCAAATTCCTTGGCGTTTGCAGCGTCAACTACAATTTCCATAATCGCTTCCAATCATTGCTTCTTTTCAATATGGTTACTCTTAGCGTGCAAATATGTGTAAGTGAAGCAATTAATGTCAAAGTTGATATTATGGGAGCACTGGTTCCGATGCTTCATGAAGCCACTCTCAATTCTGGGGTGTCAGAATGCTTGTGTGTGCTTGCCCAGGCTCCTACCACTTCCTTCTCTCGTTTTCTTTTGTTGCAAATTGCTGCTTCTCTCCATTTCCCTCTTCATCTTAATAGTATGCTGAGTTTCCAGGCTAACAAACTCCGCAGTTTGCTGTATGCTACTCCTTGTGTGGCAAGCTATAAGAAATTTGTTGACCTCCAAATGGCTTAGTTTTAGGACATCTAACCTTTTAATAAAAACATTTTGATGTAATAATTAAGATTTTCAGTGTTGTTGCCTTCTTCCTTTCTTACAGGAACACGATAGAGTATTAAATACAACTGTCATACCCCCTTCTTGCTCTTAAGGGTATACCTATGGCTTTCCATTTTTTGATGTGCCAGGCCAGAAGACCCCAAACATTTCCAACATTTCCTTATTAAAAAAAATATATCAAACTACTTCATTTTTCATTATGACCATATGACTAATCTCACTCCATTCATAAGCACTTAACATCTGAGGCAAGTGCAGCAACTGCTTAAACCTAAAAAAGTATACTGAGGAAAGTAAATAATTTCTGATGTTTAAATTAACAAATGCTTTATCCTCTTTGAATCAATCCTCAACCTCTCTCTCTTCCCACATGAGTCTTCAAAATGAAAACAAAGTCAACTACATCAAATGACCAGTTCTCTATGGACCATCAGTTTATTATAATTTTTCATACAGGTACATTTTTAAATATGCATACAAAATAAGTTTAGAATATTTAAAAATAGATGCTAAGACTAATGTACTGATATTCTACCCTATTATATAAATTACCTGTCCCATAAATGAGGAAAACTACTGCATTCTCCAACTTCTACATATCCTATCTAGAATATACTGGCATCTCAGTAAGAACTGTAACTTTTGGTTTATAAGATTTTCTATTTATGTGCTATTTCTGAATCATTCACAACTAAACTAATTGGTGAAAAGTCTAGTTGGATCAAAAAAGTGACAGCTAGCTTAATGAAATATACAGATAACAATAATGCAGTCCAATGCAGACCTTAAGCAATGTAGTCCAAATGAAAGCATATTATTCAAACCACGTAATAAAGAAACTAAACATTATAGAAAAGTATTTACATACCTGAACACATCCAGCTAACATTTCATATAAAATATGTGCACGCTTTTTCATTACTCTTACATCAACAGGGGTAGAATCCGCACACTGACCATTCTGGATTGGATTTATAAAACGATTTCGGAATTCCTTAATTGATCCAAGCAAGTTCTCTTTGATAAAATTAACCATGCAGTGATCTGGGAGAAAAAGATCAACTCCAGTTTTTTTAAGTTAAAGTAAATAGTTTCCATGAAAGTGTTTATTCTCATTTTAACAAAAATAGGAGTCTATCCCCCTTCTAAAAATCCTTTTCTGTTAAAAAAGATAAAAGTATCTTCAAAGCATAGACCCAGAAAGTAATAGCTTTTCATTGCTACTTAATTTATTTCATTAGCTATACTCTGGTGCCACTAGGAATACAGATTACTTTCAATTACACCAAACCACACTTTTTTTTTTTCTTTACAATTCAAACATCTGTTGAAGAAGCCATTTTCAACTAAAAGCCAAAGAAACCACTACTTACATTCTATAAGGTTATTCTGTAGTGGTGTTCCTGTAAGAATTATCCTCCTTCTGGATTGTATAGCATTCATAGCTTTAGAAACAGCAGAAGCTTCGTTTTTTAATATATGCCCTTCATCACACACAACAAAGTCAGGGCCTAGAAGAAAAGAAGTTTAGTGATATTAGATAACTTGATTTTCTGTAACCTGGAGGAATTTATGATTAGAGAGAAGCAGTAAGCTGTATTAGTCTGAAGTCAGGCAGAAGGCAGGATATGGTAGTACCTTAGAAAATTACTGGTTCAGAGATATACATGTATTCTTATTCTGAAGCCCTCTAAAACATATTATGTCTTTCTAAACCTATTAGTCTCTAAGGTGCTACCTTGCTCCTCTTCTGCCTGTAGCAATTTGGTTGTTTACTAGTGTGACTCTGTTCTATTAAACAGGCAACTATATATATATATATAAAAAATAAAGCCGCCTTTTTTTTTTAAAAGATATTTCAGGACACAAAGCACAATAATTTATTTTCTATATTACAGAGTTATGCATAATAAATTTGATGATAATATCAACCAAAGTTTTGCAGAATAATGCTATAAAGATATCTATATGCACATAAGTGATCCTTGTTTTCCCAGACAAAGTTCACAAGTGCAAATTTTTAAAGTGAGGTTACACAGTGCCATCTACTGGTGACGGATAAGTCATCAAGAGAACCAAAGTACAATAGGACTGTTTCCTATGAAGACCAGAATGTAGTATGCTCCTTAATGATGAGTACAATGTAAAACTTGATCTAAGTTGTTCCAGTGATAACTTAGAGCTGGCCAAAGGTAAAGACCAAACTTTAGGCAAGACCAAATAAGTTCAATGGTCTGATTCAAAACTTTTGTTTTAAAACTTAACTGATTTAAATTTCAGGCAATGTGACCGTTTAATTTATTAGATGCAATGTCAAGACATCTCAACCACTTTAATACAAACAATCCCATATTCATACTAGCCGAATTAGCAGTGAGAAAAAAAGTTGCTATGGGCTTTCATGGCCCTTGCAAACTAATGCTTATTTCTTAAGATTTTCTTTATATGCATATACAGTTTTATCACTGGCTCATGCTACGTTTGTTTTTTCTATTCTGCATGTACAATGCATACATACTCCCGGTACATTAACCAGTAAGCAAATGCCAGGAATATATCAGGGAACATACATAAAATTTAATATTATATTCTAGTCATGGGAAAAGTTTATGAAAAATGTAACTAGTTAAAGTTAAAAGTTAGCAACCTTTAAAATTAACTTGAGTTGAGTTAAAAGTTAAGTATAACCACTTTCAACTAGTTAAAAGGCAAATTAAAAAGAGAGGAACTAGTAAAAAGTTAAAGTTGATTCTTAAGAAATGTGTGAAACCCAATGAATTGCCTCATAGCATCATTCTTCATTTTCAAATGCAATGAGTGGGTTTCTTTTCCATAAGCCCACAGAAGCAACCTAATTTACTTAGAACTCACCCTGCTTTACCTGAAAACAATGTTATACTTGCCATACAGTTTTCAGAATAACAATTTACTAATACCTATGTAATGCTAGATCCTTCTCACCCTCTCTATGTGAAGTACTTTGTAAAAGTTAATGCATCAGATAGGTATAGCAGAACAACAGAAAGGAGATATTCATAGCCAGGTGACAAATGAAAGATGTTTCCACAGAAAACCTCTGTTGTTACATTTTTTATTGCTCAAAAGGTAACAAAGGGTATGAAATATATCTGAATTAGAAATAATGAAAGTGTTTGAAAATCAAAATTAGACTGAAATGAGAAAATCGGTTTAAATGAAAGAGAATGTTCAGTTGCATAGTAGAAACTGTTTAAACATGCTTATTGAACTTCAGCAAAAGCTGCATTTCAAAATTGACATCTGACAATTTTCTTCTTCCGTCTTGCAAAACTAAGCCCCCACTACTGAACAATTTGCTCTACATGGGCAGATAAGGGAATGCTTGTTCCCTCTCCTGCAGCCCTGTTGAGTTCTGCAAATGCATAGAAAATGCCAGCATGAAGTAAGGAACTCTGGGACTTGCAGTTCTTAAGAGACCATATCTCATAGAAAGGCACACTACTCTGTCTCTCAAACAAGAAGTCCTAGAGTTTCAATGAAGAAATATCATTCCATGCAAGTCCTAGAGAGTTGTGCATCAGGAAAAACTCTGGGAAAGCCAGATTTCAATTTTTTTTTAACCTTTTAACTTATATTTTTAAAAAGTTAAAAAGTTACCCTTTTTTTAAAAACTAGTTAAAGTTAAAAGTTAACAGCTGAAAAATTCAACTAGTTAAAGTTAAGAGTTAGACATCCCTTTAATTTTTGAACTAGTTAATTAATTTCCATGACTGCTATATTCTGATGTGACAATCAGTCGACAGATCCGACTTCTGAAGTCTTTCAGAATGTGTTTGCCTTCTGTGCTTTTCATGTACACCTGGTTGTATTCTCCACCACTGTGATACAGACCTGTCCTTTTGACACTTGCATGACATTTTATAGTGACATTTTATAGTGACATTCCCTAAGAATTTTGAGTGTCAGCTACTTTGGATAGATCTCTCCAGACAGGCTTCCAGCCTATATCCACAGCCCCAGATCTGCTAATGATCATTTTAAATAATGTTGCTGAGAACAGTTAATTTGTAAAGCTGCTCATTGAATATGTTGCGCCAGTTCAGCCTGAGTGGGTGAAGTGTTAATGTTTATGGGCAGATAGCATTGGTGTACTGGCATTAACAGCTGACATCACTAAAAGATAAACAAATTGTTCAATATTTCAAGATCTTCAGTAGTGATAAAAGATGGATTGTTCCTTAGATTTAAGAGCAAACTTATGATATCAAATATATTCTATGAGTAAGGCACTTTTAAAAAATCTCTTCCTGCAAAAAAATCCTCACATCAGAACCCACTGACACACAGAACTGCAGAAACTCTTGTAATTTTTCTTGACTGATGAACAACAGTAGCTTGAAATTTACTGTAATAAACCAAAAATTCTTTCCAATGTTAAATGCATGGAGAAAAAAGGTTCCCAATATTAGTTATTACTGCTGCAATGCCAACAACTGCTACATTTGTATCAAGAGTCTGCAACACACCATAATGAAGTATTTGTCTAAGCCATAGCCTGCGTGGCTCTGATTTATCATTGTAAATGAAGATGATTGGCAAAAACTTGATATCCCTGACTTGTCTGCAAGATCCCAGGCCACAGCATGGTTGGTTAGCACCTTTAAAACCATCTGATTTACAAACATGATATCTGGTCTTAACATATTTGTAATTATTCGTAATCATGACAGACAACCTTGTTTGACACATTCTCAGTTATGCTGATGTGTGGGCATTAGATATTGCTAACTGCTGCTCTGCCAACAACAAAGATGCTAGCATTAGCAACTCTATGCAGAAATCAATTTATTTGTCAATACTTTATATGACTACTTACTGTCTGATGTTAGTTCATTACATTTTGTTAGTCTTTTCTAACTGATTGGGGGGGGGGAGGTAAGGGGGAGGGGAAATCATAGGGAAACCTAACAGAAAGGGTCCAGTCCCCTGCTACTGCCATATAATTGCTTTCATAAACTGATCAGGCTCCATCTTTAAATTAATTAGGTGTTTTTGGTCCCAGTATGCTTGTTGGAAGACTCTTTCTTCTAAGAGTCTTTGATGGTAAGAAACGTTCCATTTCCCCAGCCTCAATTTAAGAATGACCAATCTGTACCCATTTGTTGTGTTAATATGTCTATTAGTTGAAAAAGCTCTTCTATCACCCGCCACAAAGTATTTACAGACAGCAATTCAGTCTATCACTAGGCTAAACAAATCACTTTCTTTTAATCTCCTCTTACATGACAGGCCCTCCATTCCTCTTCTTATCTCCTGATATTCCACCTATTGAAATAATCTCTCTCGAACCCCCATGACCAAAGTAGTTGTATTCCACATGGGGTCCTATCAGCACCTTGTAGCACTAATATTTCTTCCCTATTTCTGCTGGAAATACCTTGCCTGATATAACTTAAGGTAACACCGACAGTTCAATCATCCTGTGATCAACTAGTATGCTCAAGTTTTTCCCTTCTTCAGTCATTAACAAGTCTTGAGTTCCCAGATCACAGCAGCAATTTCTTTTATTAATCTGTAAGTGCATGACCCTGTATTTGGTACTATTGAATTTCATTCCTTTTCAATTACTTTTGTTCTGGGTCATCCAGTTCTTTCTTTAGGATATTCAATCCACCTCTGTATTGACAATACCTCCCAACTTTGTGTTATCATTAAATTCCATCAGCGCACACATACTTTTTGTGCCAAGGTCATTAATGAAAAATTTCAACAGGCTTGGTCCCAAAACTGATACTCAAGTAACTCAGCTAGTAATTTCTCTCCAGCCCGACACATCCCCTTTTACCACTACCCGTTATCAGGTCCTCTTTTGACAGTTCCTTACACACTGGCAATTCCTCTATTAATCCCTACTCTTTCTAGTTTCACAGATAGTTCCTCATGTGATACCACTTCGAATGCTTAAATAAAGTATTAAGTGCGAGACATGGGAGGTGATAATGCCTCTACTACTTGGCACTGATTAGGTACTCATCTGGAGTACTGTGTTCAGTTCTGGGCTCTACATTTTAAAAAGGACGTGGAGAAGTTAAAGAGCGTCCAGAGGCAGGTGACAAAGATAAAGGGATTGGAAAGCAAGTTGTACGAGGAAAGGCTGAAAGAGCTAGGCGTGTTCAAATACTTGAAGGGCTGCCATAAAGAAGAGGGAAAGCACCTTTTCTCTCTTGCTACAGAGGGGATGATGCAGACTAATGGCTTAAAGTTGCAGAAGAGTAAGTTTAGACTGGATATCTGGAAAAACTTCTTCACTGTTAGAACAGTAAGGCCATGTAACAGACTGCCTAGGGAAGCTGTGGACTCTCCATCCCTGGAGGTGTTCAAGAAGAGACTGGACAGCCACTGGTCAGGGATGATCTAGATGTAATTACACCCATGTTCTACAATGGGTATTTCCCATGCTTCTGGGCTTTGCTGGTTGCCCCTGCCCTACCTTTTGTCATGTGTCAGAGTGTTTTTAACCCTCCTTCAGATG